AAACGTTTTAAGGTTTTTAGGTCGCTAAACTAAAACAATTACTACGAAAGAGTTTGTTTGACGACGTAGTGTAATTAGTGATACCCCTACCCCCCCCCCCCCTCCCAAACAAAAAATATTGATTACCGAGTTACAACTGATTTCCTCTTGGTATATTTTGCATCAAGGGGAACAGGGTTTTAATAAACACCCAGGAAAATTTTTTGAGATATAACCATATTATTCAAGATGCAACAACTTCTTCACTATTTGAGGTCATCAAAAAATTTCATAGAATGAAAATACCCAAGCACAAAAAGATAAAAACAAAACCTACAAAACTGTACAAGCAACAAGAAGAAAAGGACATAAATTTTCTAAGGAAAAAAAAGGTATTTTACTCTTCCAAGGATAGTATACCAGAACTATAATACATAGCATGAAAAGTCACTTACTGTAACATTATACTTGAAGTAAACATTCAACGTAGTCAAAAAGAACTCATATTCATCATGGACAACTGGATAAGCACATGTCCCATGTTTTTCTGCAATCAATAAACATGAAAATATAGTCACAAATGATACTTAAAGAATATCCTATCTGGTATGTTATTGTTGTTGTTGTTGCTGTTGCATACAAGTATACCAGACCTTCTGTACTATAATCAGGTTGGATTTTGTAGTGAAAAAAGGCCCTGTCTCCATATAACTCCCTATTGAAAACCAGGTGTTTTGTTTGGTAACCAGAAGATGTACGCCCCATCATAATACCATGAGGTATATGTTAAAAGAACGAACATGAGTTCTTTTACACATCGCACTGCGAAGCGATATAACAACCACTGGGAGTAGGGGCAGGATTCTCAGTGTAACTTAGAGGGATTTATTTTCTCCAATAACAGAAATGTGTCTTTTAGCCCTTTGTTGGCACAACATCGTCATACCAAAGGGAGATTACAGCATATTGATGGTATGCACAGGCTTAAGCACACACAAGAGTCAAGACATCTCACTGATTCCATGACAAAAGCAGAAGGAAATAACTACCTTCTACCTCAGTTTTAGAAGGATAATAAATAAATAAATTTACTGTACACGAGGAAGTACATGCCTAATCACTTATCAGTATCCAAGGAAGAAGGGAGCTACACTTAATTTGTTAAGACATGTCAAAAGTCAAATTACTTTCTAGGTTTTTACATCACTGGCTCCTTTATGTACATATAAACCTTGCTTCTCAATTAATTTCTAAGAAATAGCAAGCTTGCAAGATTAATTTAACATAAAATATAGAATAAGGCAAGGTAATTACCCCACTGTGCTTGAGTATCTCCAGAGTCAGCATAGAGGAAATGCAAGGAGGATGTGTCAGTTCCTTAAATTGTATCGAATTCAAACAATCAATGAGTAAAGACAACAGTGAAACCACCTCATGTGCCCAGAATGGTCCTTTTTTGTGATGGCAAGATCTGGGGGAGCCACAACTTAAAGAAGGCCAATACTTCCTCAAGGGCACGAGCAATGTCGAAATCTGAGATGACAAATAGTACTTCGGCTCAAAAAAATAAATTTGGCCTTGGTGATGAGGAGTAAGCATCTCGATGAAATGGAAAAAAGGGAAGCACCACTGAGATTAACTAAGCTTCTCAATGACCTCATAGTGGAGTTTCCAAATATCCTAGCTAACCAACAAAGTTTACAGAAGCTTGTAGCGCTAATGTGAAATAATATCGCTTGAAGCCAATTTACAGCAAAAGATGTTTGATGGCTTAACTCTCTATCTGTATTTGCATAAATAATTGGCACCTTGACACAATCTCACAGCCATAGTCTACGTTACAAATATGAACAAATTATGTAACAGAATTCAGATCTGAAAAATTAAGCAGACAAAAGGTCTTATAATGCAAACTTCATGATTAAAAGCTAAGATAGCAAATAGACAAACGTGTAAGTGTTCACACAAAAAGAACTGCTCAATGTGAAGGTGAAGATTTGGGAATCCATTCTTGAGTCCTTGATCTTTGTAAAAAGCTGCACCCAAGGATGTGGCCTAGTGATAACTGGAATGAGGATCACGGGGAAGTTTTGAATCCCAGTAGAGGCAAAAAAAAGCTAGGCGATTTCTACCCCGACACCACTGTTATCACAATAAAAAGAAAAAAAATATCTCCATGAACTCTTGTGGATTTAGTCGTGTCATCAGAAGACATTGGCATTCCAGTTATAAACTGTTCACAAGCAATGCAAGTAGTTCCACCAATCAATTCTCACATTCCAGGCTGCTCTGTCATAGAAAAAGGGCAAGAAAATACAATAAGCAAACATACCTCTCTCTCATCAAATGCTTTACCGGAACAGCAGGCAGGCCAGGTTCCATCATTGTACTCTGTCCAAAGTCCATCTATAGCACAAGAAACCTTATTCAATTCTATCTTTCACTTTTCATCACATACAAAATTAATTACACACCCTTCTGAAATGGAGTAGGACTTACGAATTGTGAATACAGGTGGCGAGTTCGAGCTGCAAAAATACAAAAATCACAGGTAAGCTCCTATAACGCGTGTTATATAATGAAATTGCCGCAAAACAAATATATCGAAATTTCTTATTCTTTTTCTTGCTATAATAATCGGTAAATAATTGATCCACTTTGCGCTTCTCCACTTAAAGATAGTAGTGGTACTAGATTTGGTTCAGTAGCCATTAGACCAAAGCCATGGAGGCCCATAAACTTTAATCTAACAACAACCACAACAACTAAGCCTAAGTCACAAACTAATTGAAGTCTGTCATATGAATCTTCAATATCCATTTAGCACCATTTGGACCGTACTTCAATTTAATCCTAACAAAAAAAAAAGGAGGAAAAAAAAGGCACATAAAGAAGCATAAGATCTATGATGGAAAATATAGGGGTAATTGCATTGAATAAGTACATTTAACCTTCAATTAACTAAAACATGTGTATTTGGTCCTTTCGTATATGAATAAGTTATACTAGACTATTTTTAGAACTATATTACCCTCGCATCAGTATTCAGATGGTTTAGCAAAGTTGTTACATTTGTGAAGATTCACGTGCAGAGGGATCAAAGGTACACGTATCAACTAAACAAAGACCAAAATTAGAAATTGTCCATATTTGAGGGACTACAAGCTAAATTTTCCAAAAAAGAAAGAAAAAAGAATAAGAAAAAGGAGATATACCGGCTGCAACAGGCGTTGGAAGAACAACAACGGCGAGTTCTTCGGCAATAGGTGCCTGGCCATTGGAGAGATAGCTTGAAGTAATCGAACTCTCGCTGATATCCTCCTCCTGCGCCGCTGCGTCCTCTTCTCAGTAATCCTACTTCCTCATCCCATCCACCATTGACTCCAACCAGAATACAACATGCTCCGATCAACAGAAATAGCATTCGTAGATTCGCAATAGCGTTGACCGGAAGGAAAGTCATGGCTCTACCCCTACTGTTCTATTCCCAATAGTTTTTCAGTTTTCTTTTTCTTTTTTTTGGGTTTCGTTCTTATGGATATGGCCATGAGTTGTGAAACAGTTTTATTATAAATAAGGAAGAAGGCTGGTGGCAGACGGCAGTTTTGGATTATTATTGTGAACCAAAAAAAAAAAAAGAAGAAGAAGAAGATAAATGGCGTGAGGGTTAGTTAACGGACAAAGTAGAACTTGGCACTTTTAATTTGCTGACGGACTTGAAGAATCTTTACGAACATGTTTGATGAGCATTTAATACTCTTTCGGTTTCATGATTTTAACTTATGTAGGAATTGAAACTTTTTATCATTAGTTTAATATTTATTTCTTTCCCATTTTTAATTTCCAAAATAAGAAATTCCAGCTTTATCATCAAAGTAACTTTTCCACTTTGTTTTTTGTGTGGTAATATTCCACTTTAATTTTAATATTTTTTATTTCATTAATATAAGAATTAATTTTAGAGACATCTATTTAAATTTTTGGCCTTATAACACCTCCAAAAATCTTTGATGTTACATTTTGAATTAGGAAATGCCACTCGCCATATTTTGTCAACATCATATCATTAGGAACACTTTGTATAATATGATATTTTTTTGTAAATGTCAAACCCAAAAATAATACAATACTTGAGTGGAAGCAGCTTGTATGAAATTCTTTGGGCACTTCCCGGCATGAAATATTTTACCTAGCATCTAGCCATTGGCTTCTTCCTTCTACTAGCCTTTTACTTGAATTTTCCAGAAGATTATAATATTACATTTACCTTTCTCCCTCGTCTTAATTTCTTGTTACAATTCTTTTAGCTTATTTATCATAATAAAAATATTATGATTGGACTACTTTGCCAGTTTTAATATTCTTTGTTATTTATTTTGAGAAAAGGCCAAAAATGTCTCCGAATTATTGAAAATAAAATTATTATACTTTTCACTAGTATACGTACCTGCGCGATGCGCGGATTAGTTCAAAGGAAAAAGAGCTGAGAGAGATAATAGAAAAAAAAGTATATATAGCATTAGCCACGGGAAAGACCAAAGTCCTCTCATTGCATCAATTAAAAGCGTATTATTTTTTCCTTTGAGAGTACTTTTCGAACATTTAGGCATAATCTTTTCTTCCATATTCTTTATAATAATATATTGCATAGACGCTCCAGATCATATGTCGTCGTCTAATATTCTTGACTTGCATAAAACTAACAGTACCATATCTTTGACTTGCATAAAAGTAACAGTACCATAATGATTCTGAAAAATTACATGAGAAATTCACTCGTTTCTTTTTTGGTTCTTTTGCTTAATTGAAAGAAAAACTTCCTAGTTCTCTAGCATATCCTTAATGCAATTTATTAAGTTTTAATACACATATATGCCTACTTATTACTATTGAATATAAACCCTTGAATTCTAATAATCAAGTTCTTTAGTGTATCATTCGAAGAATCCGGGTTTGACCAGATCTAAAATTTTATTATCAAATATATCTATCCACATATATAAGTAAAATAAGTGTCATCTTAAAGGACAAATTAAAAGTGAGCATGTACCTACCTCGCATTCCTTCTCTTCATCTACGCCTTGAATAGTATTGAAGTCAGGATCCTAACAAATATAAAAAAAATTATTGAGTTCGAAAAAGCTGCAACTTAACTACATGTTTTTGCTATTGATTATCCCATGAATATGCACATAGAAATTAAAAAAAATACACGAAGAGCAAATCAAAAAATTCAGATTTGAAAATTAAAAAACGTAGAAGCAAACGTGATATATGTTATAGTATATCACTGAGAAACATATTTGAGGATACAATATGTTTGGTGCATAAATTCTTCAATCGAGTTTTGGTACTGATTATCCCATGAATACACATGCAAATTAAAAGACAGAGTTACCAAAATAAATTTTTAATTCCTTTTCATCTTATAGAACTTATTCAATCGAGAAAGTAGCGTCTAAATTGTAACGATCTGGTTCTTTCAAAATATTGCATTATTGAATTTTTTTTTTGTTCAATTGATTCAATTTTTGCGGAAATCGTATGGTTTCTTGAATTTTTTTATAGCAGTGGAAGATTTGAATTTAAGAACACTATCAATCGGAGAAATAGAAGTTGGGCGGCAGTTTGGTTTTGTGAGTTCATGTGCGTATGTTTCATGAGTTATGCGTGGTTGAGCAACTGTCCATTATCCTTAGATTGGGTTTTGTAGATAAAATTTAGATTTAAAATACATCACACATTTTAAAGAAAAATCACACAAACCCCACATTTTGTTAAAGTGAAAGAGAAAGGAGAAGAAATGAATAGTAGAAAATGCGAAGTATTAATTACTCACCTGCAAAGTTTAAAGGAGAAACACTGGTATGAGATGCATAGTACAGAAAAAATACATCACGTGCCCAATAAATCATATATGCCAATATGCAGTGAAAGAGTAAAACAGATAAACAGTGAAAGCCAACCTGGATAACATTACTTATTGAGGATGAAGGATATCAGTGTGTGTGGAGTTTAAATACACATGGAAATAATTCGGCCANGGCTTGTACTACGAGACCGGTTTTGCCCATATACAATACATACATATACATATATATATATATATATATTGTATATATA